ACTCTGAGGGTTTAAGGAGTAAAACAACACACACAAAAAGAAGCGCAATAGTTTTACCTGGTGACGATGGTGGTCCCGTCCTTGAGCCAGGAGATGATGGGAGGGTTACCCCTCCTGTCCCGGCCCTGGGCCACGCAGTGCAGGAACACCGTCTCCCCACGCACCACACGCGCGCTGTGCGGCCGGATCACAAACTTGGGGATGCCCTGAAGTTTGCTGTCTGTGAAACGAGAAAAAACAATCTTCCTCAATAAATGTTTAATTGTTGGATCAATAGCTGACCAGTCATACCCTTTGAGACTTAGAGAAAACATTATCTATATATATTTTTAGTTTTAAAAAATATATAAATTTAAATTTAAAACATCATTTTTCATAAAAGATTTCCATGTACCCTACAGAAATTTAACAAAAATAATGTTGGTGAAGTAAAAAAAAATACTTTAAGACTTCAGAGAAAATATCTTTAATGTATATTTTCAGCCCCCACCCCCCCCTCCCCCCCAAAAAAATAAACTAAAAATAAAAGGATTCCACGTATCCTGCAGGAATTTAAGAAAAACAATGTAGGTGATTTTTTTAACCTCCCTCCCCCTAAAAAAATTAAGATTTTAAATTATTTGACGGTGGACAGTCAACCCTGTATGTCAAGGCCAACACAAACTGTGGTGAGAACCAACCTTCTTGGGTCTCCTGCATGCAACAGCGAAGCAACTAACTGCTACTTGTTTGTTTTAGCAAGCGTTTTACGGCACTTGCAACACAATAAGGTCATATATAGGTTCCGAAGATTTGAGGTGTTACAAGAGAGTAACAAACACAAAAAAGGAGGGGAGAAAAAGACGATAGACGTTTGATAGGAAAGAAGAAGCAAACCACACCAGAGCACCCGCCAACCACCCACCTTATTGCTACACCAGAGACACTGGTTGTGACTCTCTAATAACACCACTACAGCACTTACATGACCTTTTTGAGTGCAAATCATGCAAAACTCTCACTAAAACTAAAAATGACTTCCTTTTATTTTACTCTCTTATCTCCAGAACTTATATGAACTTTTTGCATTGCAAGTGCTGTAAAACTCTTAATTAAACTAAAAACTTCTTTTCTTTGAATGTAACTCTCTTGTAACAACATTAATAATATGACCTCTTTGTGTTACAAGTGCTATAAAAAATCTCACTAAAACTAAAACTTCTTTTCTTTCTATTTTACTCTCTGGCAACATCTCTAATCTCAGACTCTTAGACACTTGTAAGACCTAATTGTGTTACAAATGTAACTTTTAACAAAACTAAAACTTCTCTTTTTTTTTTGCAGGATACTTCTTTAGTAACAACTCTAATCTTCAGTACTTTTGACCTATTATATTGCAAGTGCCATGAAACTCTTCCAAAGACTTCATTTCTTGGCTTGCTATTATCTTGTAGCACCTCTAATCTTCATTACTTATATATGACCTATTTTAGTTACAAGTGCATACAACTGTGACTAAAACTAAAACTTCTATTCTTTGTATGCTCCTCTCTAGTAAAACCTCTAATCTTCATTACTTATATGACCTATTAGTGTCACAAGTGCATACAACTGTGGCTAAAACTAAAACCTCTATTCTTTGTGCGCTCCTCTCTAGTAAAAATTCTAACCTTCGCCACTCATATCATGACCTATTTGAATTGCAAGAGCTGTAAAACTCTTCCTAAAACTTCCTTTCTTTGTATGTTTCTCTCTAGCGACACCTTAAATCTTTGTCACTGAAGTCACAACCGACGTAAAACTCTTCCTAAAACTTCCTTTCTTTGTATCTTTCTGTCTCGTCACAACCGATGTAAAACTCTTCCTAAAACTTCCTTTCTTTGTATGTTTCTGTCTAGTCACAACCGACGTAAAACTCTTCCTAAAATATCCTTTCTATGTATGTTTCTGTCTAGTCACAACCGACGTAAAACTCTTCCTAAAACTTCCTTTCTATGTATGTTTCTGTCTAGCGACACCTCTAATCCTTGTCACCAAAGTCACAACCGACGTAAAACTGTTACTAAAAAACACTACACAAAATTTTGCCTCCTCTCCATTACGGCACGACATACCTGTGGGTGACGCTCGTCGCAGCTCGCCGATGCGGCTGGTCCGAGACTTGCCAGGTACCTCTGCCTGGCAGGTGTAATGGCCGTAGTCTTGATCCGACACAGAGCTGATCTCCAGCGTTCCTACGGAAAGAAAGACGGAAAAAGTGAGTTTGAAAAAAGATCCAGCAGCACATTGAAACGATTAGAGTTATTCTGAGTAGCTTCAATAAATTTTTTTTTTACTTGCTACGGTTGGGGGGGTGAGAGAGAGAAAGAAGGAATGTTGGGGTTAATGGGTGCCATTTCATGTACAACACTTTCGCGAGTTCAACAAAAGACTCCATATATTAAGTAATTGTAAAGCAGTTAATAACATGGTTTCCAGCTAGCAGACACGCCTTTGACTCCTTCTGTCATTTTTCTACGTT